TGGTAACCAACAAAGAAAATTTCCTTCCATAGATAAACCTTTCCTTGACCTTTACAATGACAGACTAATACAATATTTGTCTTTTTGTGATTGACTTATTTCACTCAGCATAATGTTCTCCAAGTTCATCCATGTTATGTGGTGTTTTGCAGATTCTACATTTTTCTTTAGCATTGCATAGTATTCCATTGTGTGCATGTACTATAGTTTGGTTATCCGTTCCTCAGTTGATAGACACTGGATTTCCCAGTCTTGACAATGATATCCATAATTTGTTATCCATAATTTTGATATCCATAATATCCAAACAGTGGAATCAATAAAACACACAGATAAACATCTTTCTATTATTCTCTGCTTACAGCCATGATCCATATGACATTAGCAATAATATCCCATGTTACACATCCTCTTCTGAATCCACCTTGAATCTCTGGCAGTTCTCTGTTGATTTACTGCTACAACCATTCTTGAACTATCCTCAGCAAAATTTTACTTGTGTGTCACATCAACACAACTCAGATATCTGGATTCAGATTCAAACCATAGAGTGTTCTAGATCTTTCTACTTGTATTCTTATACATCTATTCTTAGACACTGCCCTTAAGGATCAATATATCAAGTCCACAGTTATGGGCATTTGCACTGGTGACCAAACCATCTTTGCTCTACTTTCATTCCTCTGTTGTATTCATGTTTCACTCAAATTCCAAGGTACCATATTACTCTCAGGGTACCTATAAAAAACAGATGTATTCTATTTCTAAGAATTAATGCTTGGGAAATGCAATCCTTTCAAATTTTTAACTTCCTGCTTATCCCTAAAAACAACATTTGATCAGCCAAAGGGGTAGTGTGAAGGTGTAAGACCTAGAAAGATCAAGCTGGTACCTTATATGTGGCTTCCTGTACACAGTTCAAAGGAATCCTGGTGATGCAGTAGCTAAGCACTCTGCTCCTAAACAAGAGGTGGGCAGCTGGAACCCACTAGCTGATCTGAGGGAGAAAGATGTTGCAATCTGCTTCTGTGAAGATCTACAGCAACAGAGTTATAAGGAAAAGCAAATACTAATCTACAAATGGATGCACAGGGAGACAGGTATGGATAGGCAAATGGGAATATACCCATGATCATACATAGATTTGGCAGACCATACTCCTATATATGTATTTGTATGTGCTATAAAAATGTCCACATGTGGTTTAAACATTGCAAGAGGCAAAGTTAGGATAACTTCTTAGCCACAAACAAGCACCTGAGGGAGTGAGTCA